CGGCTCGGCGTCGGCGTCGGCGTCGGCTTCGGCGTCGTCGTCGGCGTCGGCGTCGGCGTCGTCGTCGTCGCCGTCGTCGTCGTCGTCGGCGTCGGCTTCGGCGTCGGCGTCGGCGTCGGCGTCGGCGTCGTCGCCTTCTTCGTCGTCGACGTCGTCGTCGACGACGTCGTCGTCGTCGACGACGGCGGCGTCGTCGTCGTCCTCGCGCGTGCCGGGCCGTCGTGGTGCTGCCGCCGCTGTCGCCGCGCCGACGCCGCCGTCGCGTCGGGCGGGCACGCGCGCGAAGCTCTGGGCGAGGGCGGTGCCGCCGCGGCCAGGAGACGGGCGGGCCAGTCGACGAGCCGACGCAGTCGCCAGCGGGAGCCGCCGCCGCTCCCCTCGCGTACTCTCGCACGGGGCTAGCACCCCGACCCCCTCGGGCCACGAACAAATCACGAGGTAATGTTTTGCGGTATCTTCGGCCTTTGGGGGCCCTTACTGGGCCTCGGGACTATCAGAAAAAGACTCAGGATGAAATACCGGCCCCGGGGAAGTGGTCCAGACCTCTGGGACCCACGCGTCGAAAAAATTGGAGCGGCCGGATGTCTGGGGTCGGACGGGGCTAGGACGAAGATAAATCCGTTCCAGAGCGCTCCGGAACTCCCTCAGAGCGTTCCTGAACTCTCTGAGAATGCCGCGGCGCCCGAGACAGCCTCCAGAACCAGCGGATGTCAAAGATTCTCGATTCACCCTCACCCGGTTTGTATCTTCGTCCTGGCTTCGTGTTCTGCTGAGCTGCCATCGACGGTCGCTTTCGTCGTTCGGCGTCTGCCTTCGCCGTTCGATGTTGTCGTTCGTTGCTCGACGTCCGCTTCCGGCGTCCGCTTTCGTCGCCCGTCGGCGTTCGATGCTGTTTGCGATTCTCGGCCTCCGGGGGCGCTCGCCGGGCCCGGGGACCGCGCCGAGGAGCACAGGTCCCGTCGCCATCCCCGAGCCACTGGTGTGCGGCTCTCGGCGGGCACTTGTCAGGAGGAGAAGAAGCACACACAGACACAATGAGTCCTCGATCCCCCAGAAAATAGGGGAAGATATGGGAAGCGGGGGGGGAAGACAGACACCCAGAAAGCATGGGGAAATATGGGACATACTTTTATTTGTGTGTCTTCATTTGTGTGTCCTGGGGCCCCTTCAATTTGGGGGGACGAAGTGTCCAAAAGCACGCAGGCCGCTGCGATATCGCATCGCATGGGCAGTGATGGGCGAGCCGCGCAGCAGAGGCCACTCGTTGCCCAGGTCGCTCTTGCGTGTGCTCGGCCGAGAAGGGGCGGGGGGACGCGAGCAGCAGCGTGAGCTGGAGTTTTCTTACTCGGACACATAACGCGCGTTGTGTGGCCTCCGACCCACCAAGCGAGCTCACCCACCCAGCCAGGCACATAACGCGCGTTGTGGGGTTTCAAGCAAACTTGAGTTCCATGCAGGTAGCAGCGAGCATCGGGTGACCGCGGCCTTTGCTTACTCGAGCTCCTGGCGACCGGCCCCAGTGCCTCGGAAGCTTGAGAGCTGGCGGAGAGTGCCGGCCGTCCCATCGATCGAGGAGGAGGGAGGACGAAGGCGGGTCTTGGCACGGACTGCAGAGCTGGCCGTGTCCCTCGGAGCGACCAGATCGCGAGTACGGTCTTCTCCTGTGCTCGAGTGGCGGGGGGGGGAATGAAGGCGAGCTTTTGGAGAGGTGGAGGAGGAGGATGAGGAGGAGGAGGAGGAGGAGGAGGAGGGCATGAGCGACGAGTGTACATCCATGTGTCCATGTTGTCGCAGTTCTGGATGCCGAGGCGCGATCCTATGGGTGTGCGATCCTGTGGATACCTTCCGCGCGAGGGATCCGTGCAACGACGCCCTGTGCTCGTGGGGTCACGGCCGAAGAGTCCGGACCGTGAGTCCTTGGAAGTGGATCCGTTTTTCCCGCCCACGACGAGGAGGACGGGGAGGTCCGTGCCTTCCAGGGTTGGAAGCGCAGGACCAGCTCGGCACAACTGCGCGGCCGCCACCATGGAGACGACCGACAGGGCGAGCGCTCCCGCCGTGGTGGAGGCGCCCTGCCCGGCGACTGCTCCAGCCGCCGCGAAGGTGGCGGGAACGGAGAGCGCCCCTGCTTGGGCGGAGGTGGCCACCTTCGCGAGTGCTCCCGCCGTGATGGAGTCGACGAGCGTGCAGAGTGCCCTCTCGGTGACGGAGGTGGCCAACAGGGCGAGTGCGTCAGCCACCATGGAGGTGGACATCCCAGAGGGCGCGCCCGCTGTGGAGGAGGCTGCCAGCGTAATGAGTGCTCCAGCCGTGATGGAGCCGACCAGCGTGAAAGGCGCCCCCGCGCCAATGGCGGAGGGCAGAACGGCGAGTGCTCCGGCTGCCACGGAGACGAGCGACATTGAGAGCGCCCCTGCTGTGAAGGAGACTGCCAGCGTCACGAGTGCTGCAGCCGCGAACGAAACGACCAGTCTGAGGAGCGTGTCTATGGGGTCGGCCACCCTCGACGTTGATCCAGCCATCATGGAGACGGGCGACAAGGAGAGCGCATCTGTTGCGGAGGAGGTCGCAAGCGTCATGAGTGCTGCGGCCACGATGGAGTCGACCAGCTTTGAGTGCGCCCCTGCCGAGATGGAGGATGCCAGTATGGCGAGTGCTCCAGCAATCAGGGAGATTTGCAGCCCGGCGAATACGCCCTCTGTGGTGGAGGTTTCCACCCCGGCCGCGATGGGGTCGTCCAGCGTGGAGGGTGTCCCTGCGGAGATGGAGGATGCCAGCATGGAGAATGCTCCAGCCGTCGCCGAGGCGGGCGACGTGCAGTGTGCCGACGCTTGGTTGGAGGATGCCAACTTAATGTGTGCTCCAGCCGTGATGGAGTCGACCAGCTTGGAGGGTGTCCCTGCGGAGATGGAGGTTGTCATCATGGAGGGTGCTCCCGCCGTGGCGGAGACGGAAGACATGCAGAGGGCCGGCGCTGCGGAGGAGGAAGCCCACGTCACACATGCTTCGGCCGTCATGGAGCCGACCAGCGCGGAGTGCATCCCCGGGGAGATGAAGCTGGCCGCCATTGAGAGTGTTCCAGGCATCGCGGAGATGGACTGCGCGGAGAGCGTGCCCGCTGCGATAGAGGTGGCCAACACAACGGTTGCTCCCGACATGATGGGGTCGACCAGGTTGGAGAGCGCCCCTGCAGTGATGGAGGCTGCCAACATGGCGAGTAGCCCAGCTATGATGGAGATTTGCAGCCCGGAGAGTACGCCCGTTGTGATGGAGGTTTCCACCCGTGCTTTGATGGAGTCGTCCAGCGTGGAGAGTGTCCCTGCGGAGGCGGAGGTTGCCAACATGGAGCGTGCTCCGGCAGGGGTGGAGACGGAAGACACGAAGAGGATCAACGCTGTGGAGGAGAACACCAACATCACAGGCGCTCGGGCCCTGGTGGAGTCGTCCAACGTGCAGAGTGTCCCTGCGGAGGAAACGGAGGGTGCCAGCATGGAGAGTGCTCCAGTCGTCGCTGAGACAGAAGACACGAAGAGCGTTGACGCTGTGGAGGAGAACACCAACATCACAGGCGCTGGGACCGTGATGGAGTCGACCAGCGTGGAGAGTGTCCCTGCGGAGGAAGCGGAGGGTGCCAGTATGCAGAGTGCTCCCGTCGTCGCTGAGACAGAAGACACGAAGAACGTTGACGCTGTGGAGGAGAACATCAGCCTCACAGGCGCTGGGGCCGTGATGGAGTCGACCAGCGTGGAGAGTGTCCCTGCGGAGGAAGCGGAGGGTGCCAGCATGGAGAGTGCTCCAGTCGTCGCTGAGACAGAAGACACGAAGAGCGTTGACGCTGTGGAGGAGAACATCAACCTCACAGGCGCTGGGGCCGTGATGGAGTCGTCCAACGTGGAGAGTGTCCCTGCGGAGGAAACGGAGGGTGCCAGCATGCAGAGTGCTCCAGTCGTCGCTGAGACAGAAGACACGAAGAGCGTTGACGCTGTGGAGGAGAACACCAACCTCACAGGCGCTCCGTGCCTGCTGGAGTCGACCAGCGTGAAGAGCGTCCCTGCGGAGATGGAGGGTGCCAAGACGGAGAGTGTTCCACTCGTCGCCCAGACGGACGACTCGAAGAGTGTCGACGCTGTGGATGGAGATGCCAGCATCTCAGGTGCTCCAGCCTTGATGGAGTCGGCCAGCGTGGAGAGTGCCCCCGCAGTGACGGAGGCGGCCACCATGGAGAGTGCTCCAGCCGTGGCTGAGACGGGCGGCATGGAGAGTTGGGATGACTTACTGGAGTATGCCAGCTTAATGAGCACTGCGGCCATGATGGAGCCGACTGGGGTGGAGAGTGTCCCTGCGATTGCTCCAGCCGCCGTGGAGACGGGCGACGTGCAGAGTGTCGACGCTGCCGAGGACGAGACCCCTGTCACACCCCGCGTCACACGTGTTCCGGCCGTGATGGAGCCGACCAGCTCGGAGTGCGTCCCCGCGGAGGCGGAGGTGGCCGCCATGCAGAGTGCTCCGGTCATCGCGGAGGCGGACGACAGGCAGAGTGCTGACGCGGTGGAGGAGGAAACCCACGCCACACGTGCTTCCGCCGTGGTGGAGCCGACCAACGCGGAGTGCACCCCTGGAGAGATGGAGGCGGCCGCCATGGAGGTTGCTCCGGCCGTCGTCGCGATGCACTGCACGGGGCGCGCGCCTGCTGCGGAGGAGATAGCCAAAGACACGGGTTCTCCGGCCACGATGGAGTCGACCAGCACGGAGAGCGTCCCCGCGGCGATGGAGGTGGCCACCATGGACAGTCCTCCGATCCTCGTGGACATCGGCGGCATGAGAAGCGCCTCAGCTGTCATGGAGGCGGCCGGGAGGACGAGCGCTCCGACCGTCATGGAAAGGGCAGCTGCTGTCATGGAGAGGGCAGACGTCGTCATGGAGGTTGCCGGCACGGCGAGCGCCCATGCCGTCATGGAGATGGCCAGCGGGGCGAGCGCCGCCGTCGTGAAGGAGGCGGGCTCTGGGTGGGTCTGCCTTTGCTGCCTCACCCAGACGTCCGTCGTCGTTTCACCCCAATCGGGCTTGCCTAAGGGGTTCTTACTTGGTCAAGCAGGCTTGCCCAATCAGGCTTGCCTCGGGGGGGGCACGTCGCCCAGCCCCCGAAGATTCCTTGGGTTCCTCGAGTTCCCCTCGGGTTCCCCTCGGGTTCCTCGGGTTCCTCGGGTTCCTCGGGCTCCTCGGGCTCCTCGGGTTCCCCGGGTTCCTCGGGTTCCTCTCGGGTTCCTCGGGTTTCCCTCGGGTTCTTCTTTGGTTCCTCGGGCTCCTCGGGTTCCCCGTGTTCCCTTCGAGTTCCTCGGGTTCCCCGGGTTCCTCGGGCTTCTCGGGTTTCCCGGGTTCCCCTCGGGTTCCCCAGGTTCCTCTCTGGTTCCTCGGGTTCCCCGGGTTCCTTGGGCTCCTCGGGTTTCCTTGGTTCCCCTCGGATTCCTCAGGTTCCCCCGTTTCCTCGGGTTCCTCGGGTTCCTTGGGTTTCTTGGGTTCCTCGGGTTCACCGGGTTCCTCGGTTTCCCTGAGTTCCTCGGCAATACTAAGCAATGCCAAGCAATGCCAAGCAATGCCGAACAATGCCAAGCAATGCCAAGCGATGCGCCGAGCGATGCGCCCATGCAATAGGCTTTCCCCTCATTGGGATCGCGCCGGGATCATTGTGTTTGTTTAAGCGTGCCTCCTCGAAGAAGGCCCCTTCCAGGCCAGGGACCGGGTTCTCATCGAAACCTTTTTGTTTGACGGTCCTGGGGCCTGATGAGGGCCCCCGCAGGTCAAACGTTGCCTCAACTTTACGTCCTTTTTGTTTTTTGTTTTTGTTTTTGCTGTTCACGACGCGAGGATTGCCCGCCTTGCCCAGAAGCCCGACGTCATGATTTTTCATAACGCGACCCCAGAGGTCCAGACCCATTCTCCGTGACCGGCTTTTCATCCTGAGTCGTTTTTCGACGCTCCCGAGGCCGGTGAGGTCGGGGATGGCCAGGACCCCAGGTAAGGGGACCCGGTTAGTAGCAGGGCCCCGGAGCCTTTGAATTGGCCAGAATCACTAAACCAGGTTTGCCATAGCTGCTGTCTTTTCGGGTGACGGCAGTTCCGCTTAGTGGAATTGGGACGGGGGGGCGCCCCCGGTACAGATCATCACCACCTACCAAACCACCCCAACCCAACCCGAAGGCCTCAATTTGCCCTCCATTTCCAATGTGGGGGGGGGTCGGGGAACGTTGAAAAATCACATGGAGCCCGTATCCCCCCCAACCCGAAATTCGGGTCAAATTCGGGTCTTCGGGTTGGGTTGGGGTGGTCTGGCAGGTAGTCAGATCACCAAACCAGGTTCCACTGAGCCCAGCTCTGCCACCCCGGAGGCCGAGCATGCAGAAGAACCCGTCCGTCGTGATTTCTTCATGGCCCGAGGGAATGACGGTGAATTCCTTCACTTAACTCTAGCCGCATATGAGCTTGCGAGCTTTTTGATCTAGACGCTTAGCTTGGGTCTGTTCAGCACACCAATGGGAAGGGAATTATCAGGGGCAATCGTGAAATGTATCTAGATGCCTGAGATCAGTCTGCTATCATCAAACAAAGCCGTCCCTCCGTCCCGTCCCTCCGCTCGGGCGGCCGGGGGGGGGACAGGGAGGGAGGCCTACGAGAGACCTGCCGCGAGCAGCTGGCCTCCGCCCCAGGCGCCAGGCGCCATCCTCGGTGCGCGCTGGCGCCTCGGGCGCGCCGGAAGGCGCTGGGGAGAGCAGCCGCGCGGGCTGATCCGCCAGCCTCGGTCGGGCATGTCCCTCTACACGAGGAGTGTTCAAAAGACAGGAGAAACATAGTCAGGGGACGATTTCTCGATTCCTTTTGTAGGGGCACATCTATCTATGTATCACATGTTTGAGTACTTTTTTATCTTACATTTGACCTCCAAAATCCGCCTGTGGGGGGAAATGCCCGACCTAACGCCAGCCCCCTTTGTTACCCTCCTTTCGTTCGACCCGGGTCGTGCCTCCTCCTCCTCCTCCTCCTCCTCTTCCTCCTCCTCGTCCTCCGGCGCCTCTTGCCGCTGCCCTCTCGCCCCCCCCTTCGCCGCCGCGCTGCCTCCGCGGGCGCTTTCTCGGCTGCCTGCCCGAGCCTCGGCCTGAGGCTGGCTTGGCTGCAGCTCGTGGTCACCAGTCATCCCCGGTCAGTTGAAGAGTATAGGGGGCCCCATGCGAGCCCTACCCCTACCCCCCACGATTTCTGAGGGAGGCAGGGGTAGGGTTCGCATGTGGCCCCCTAGAGTAAGCAGCGGCGTAGATTCCAGGCCGCCCAAACTGGACCCGAGTGGTCCAGAAGGGGATCAACTACAGAACTGATTTACAGCAGAAGTCATTTTCTTGTCGAACCTATGCAATGTAGGTTGAATGTTCGTAGATCTACGGGGCAATCTTTTCATTCTCGTAGTTTCGGTTGCTGGGGTAAATGAATTCTGTAGTCGATCCCCTACTCGAAGTAGGTGGGGTCGGAGGATCACGCCGCACTGCCGACGCATCGGCGACTCGGCGCGACCCAGAGCCCGAGTGTTACAATCCCGACGTCGCTGACGCATCAATGGTGGGTAGGGGTAGGGGTAGGGTTCGCATGTGGCCCCCTAGTCAGCTCGAGGCCTGGCCCGGCTCCACGGTGCGCGTGCGTTCCGAGGCCAGGATCCAGGCGGCCCAGGCGGAGCCAGAGCAGACAGATCGCGGCACCGCGCCGCACCTCGCCGACGCATCGCCGACTCACGGCGCGGTCCAGAGCTCGGTCTCCTCCAGCCCGAGCTCGCCCGGCGAGGCGCCGCCGCGTCTGCGCTGCGGCACGAGGCGCGCATTCCATCCGCTCCGGCCCCGTCCTGGCGGCCTCCGTGGAGGGCATGTGTCCGGATCGGTGGAGGAATTCCTGCCCTGGCGAGGCCTCCTCCTACACATCGTCGTCCTCCTCCTTCTCCTCCTCTGCTCCCCCTCCTCCTCCTCCTCGTCCTCCTCCTCCTCCTCCTCCTTCTCGTCCTCCTCCTCTCCTCCCCCTCCTCGTCGTCCTCCTCCTTCGCGTCCTCCTCCTCCTCCTCCTCCTCCGCCTCCTCCACGGCGTTCTCTTCATCCACGGCCTCGAGAGCGAGCGCCAGGGAGAGAGAGGGAGAGTCTCTCTCGGCGCGCTCGAGGCGCTGGCAGGCCAGCGCGTCGGGCCCGTGGGCCCGAGGCATGCCTCTCCAGGGGCCCGAGCGGGGGAGGAGCCGGCCGCCCCACGGCTTCTCTCGTGGCACTGGAGGACCTTTGGGAATTGGGAGGGGGGCAAGGAGGAGGAGGAGGAGGAGGAGGGGGAGGAGGAGGAGGAGGAGGAGGAGGAGGAGGAGGAGGAGGAGGAGGAGGAGGAGGAGGGCGGCGACGGCGACGACACTGGCGAGAAAGCTGTGTGCTTTTTTAAAAAGGAGTTCGACTCAAGCAGCGGATTGGTTTGGAAATCAGGCAAGTCACACTGTTGCTTCAAGACGAGTCCTGCTTCACACACAAAACGCGCAGTTCTCTCGCAGTGCCCCTGGGGCGTGCGGTGGCTGCCGCGCCCCCCGCCCACCCACCCCGAAAGCGGAGGTCGCGGCGCCAGAGGCGTTCTACATCGGGGGCGGCAGCACGTCGTACTACATCGGGGACGACAGCGACTGCGAGGAGGCCCCTGTCGGAGGAGGAGATGAGTCAGAATCGTTCAACCTGTCCCAATCCCCAGCTGGGCCAGGGTTCCTTGGCGCCACCAGCGTACCGCCTCCAGGTGGGATGGATGCCGCGAGGCCCGACGGAGATGGCATCTATCCACAGCCACGGGGGTAGGTCGGACAGCGGAGCCAAGGGTTTTTCAGTCGGCATGGGGATCAGTCTCACTAATGCGACGGTGGGTTTCTCAGTTGGGGTCTTACGTGTATCTATGTGTACACACAAGTTTTAATATCGCCTGTACATGTAAGCTGTTACACAGGTGTATACATATATATCTATATATACATGTACGTATATGTATATGTATATATGTATATATATATATATATATATATACACACGCGTGTATGTGTAATTACATATACACGCATGCATGCATACATGATATATATATATATATATATATATATATATATATATATATAGCTATACACAGTTTCATACACGTAACGGCGCACCGGGCCCTGGACCACAAATGCGGGTACGGGGCTGCCCCGGGCTCTGCCAGAGCGCCGGGGGCCCTCCAAGATCGCCCGAAGACAGCCTCGGATCGCCCGAAAACGTGCTTCGAGACCGCCAGAACGGCGTACGACGGCACCATAATGCCCTCTAAGACGCTTGCTATAGCCCCAAGACGGCCCAAGAAGCCCCAAGACGCCCCAAGAGGCCCCCAAGAAGCCCCCCAAGAGGGCTCCAAGAAGCAACAAGTGTTCCATTCCCTTAGGAAGATGTATATTTTGAGCATGTTCGCCTCCTGGGCTTCCACAGCGTCCATGACGGCCCAAGGGGCTCCCAAGACGGGCCAGGAGGTCCCCTAGAGGGCTCCAAGACGGCACAAGAGGGGACCAAGACGGCCCAAGATGCTTCCAAGACGGCCCAAGAGAGCCCCAGGACGGGCCCGAGAGGGTCCCAGAGAGGGACACATCAGTTCGAATTTCGAGCCTTCGGCCCCAAGAGACCCCCAGGAGGCCCGAAGAGGCGCCCAAGAGGCGTCCAAGAGGTCCCAAGAGGCTCCAAGAGACCCTAAGAGGCCCCCAAGCCCAGAGGCCCTCTGGGAAGCCCCCCGAAGGCCCCCAAACCTCCAATATCGCTCTTGGGGCCTCTTTGGACCCTCTTGGGCCGTCTTGGAACCATCTTCGGACGCCTTGGAGCACTCGTGGCCTCGCCAATGCGAACATGGCGTAATTTGCGAGGGTTTATGGTTTCGGGGACAGTAAGGTTCCAGTGCTGGTTTTGGTTGAGGTGCACATTGGTCGATAATTCGAATAATGCCCGAACCAGACCCAGACCAGGACTGGTCTCAGTCACGATGCACATTATTCAATGAATGTTTAATAATGCGACTCGAACCATACCTGGACCAGTCTTGGTCATGGTTTGGGGGGAATAATATCTTTATCATAATAATATTGCGTTCGAACCACAACTGTGACTGTGACCAGTCATGGTTCTGGTCCAGGTGGAATCACATTAGTCGAATGCATTCAGAAGTATGCGGCCAAACCAGAACCATGACCAGGACCAGTTCTGGTCACAGTTGTGGTTCGGGTTGCAGTAATATGAGTATCATAATATTAATGCCAATCGACCCGGACCAGAACTGTGACCAGGACCAGTCCTGGTCACAGTTGTGGTTCGGGCTGCATTAATATTATGATAAGAATGTCAATGCCAATCGACCCGAACCAGAACCGTGACCAGGACCAGTGCTGGTCACAGTTGTGGTTGGGGTTGCATTAATTTTATTTTAATGTTATTAATGCCCATCAACCCAGGCCAGAACCGTGACCAGGACCAGTCGCGCGGACCTGAGCGGGACCTCGCCCCAACCCTGGGGGGCTGCGATCTGCGAAACCGTCGCCACTTTCGAGGGCTGCTGGTGGGTCCTGCGGAGTGAGGCACCGCGCGGACCTGAGCGGGACCTCGCCCCAACCCTCTGGGGGGGGCTGCGACCTGCGAAATGTCGCCATTTTCGAGGGCTGCTGGTGGTTCCTGCGGAATGAGGCACCGCGCGGGCCTGAGCGGGACCTCGCCGTCCCTGGGGGGCTGCGATCTGCGAAATTGTCGCCACTTTCGAGGGCTGCTGGTGGGTCCTGCGGAGTGAGGCACCGCGCGGATCTGAGCGGGACCTCGCCGCCCCTGGGGGGCTGCGATCTGCGAAATCGTCGCCACTTTCGAGGGCTGCTGGTGGGTCCAGCGGAGCGAGGCACCAGGCAGATCTGAGCGGGACATCGCAATCCCTGGGGGGCTGCGAGCCTCACGAATGCCGCTTGCAGAAGTATATGCGCCCATGTCACGTCATCACCTCCGTATAACGTCCTCCAAGCTACTCATGCCCCGCATTGCGCAGGGGTTGGGTAGGTCGCCAGGGTAATTATAATATTATTAATGCCCATCGACCCGAACTGGAACCGTGACCAAGACCAGTCCTGGTCACAGTTGTGGTTGGGGTTGCATTAATATTCTAATAATATTATAAATGCCAATCGGCCCGAACCAGAACCGTGAACAGGACCAGTCCTGGTCACATTTGTGGTTGGGGTTGCATTGATATTATTATTATATTAATGCCAATCGACCCGAACCAGAACCGTGACCAGGACCAGTTCTGCTCACAGTTGTGGTTGGGGTTGCATTAATATTCTAATAATATTATAAATGCCAATCGACCCGAACCAGAGACACCGTGACCAGGACCAGTCCTGGTCACAGTTGTGGTTGGGGTTGCATTCATATTCTTATAATAATGTTAATGCCAATCGACCCGAACCAGAACCATGACCAGGACCAGTCCTGGCCACAGTTGTGGTTGGGGTTGCATTGTTCTTCTTATTATTATATTAATGCCCATCGACCCGAACCAGAACCGTGACAAGGACCAGTCCTGCTCACAGTTGTGGTTCGGGTTGTATTAATATTATAAATATCAATAATGCCAATCGATTCCTATTGTAGGGGTTACAGTAGGACCCCTTTTCTGCAGGCTACAATATGCTTCCTGATGCACGGGTTACACAAGGTTTCTCATTGTAAGAGTTTACACTCGGATTCCTATTGTACGAGTTACACTAAGATTCCTATTGCAAGGGATACAGTAGGATTCCTATTGTAAGGCTTACAATAGGATTCCTAGTGTACAGATTACAATAGGATTTCTATTTTAGGGATTACAACAGGATTCCTATTGTAAGGTTATAATAGGAGTTCTATGGTCGGGATGACAATAGGGTGATTATTGTAGGGTTTACAATGAGATTCCTAGTGTACGGATTACACTAGGACTCCTATTGTAAGACTTCCCAAAGGATTTCTACTTTAGGGATTGCAATAAGATTCCGATTGCACGACCCGGACCAGAGACGTGACCAGGACCAGTCTTGGTCACAGTTGTGGTTCGGGTTGCATTAATATTGTTATAATATTATCAATGCCTACCGACCAGAACCAGGACCGTGACCAGGACAAGTCCTGGTCACAATTGTGGTTCGGGTTGCATTTATATCATTAAAATGATATTAATGCCAATCGACCCAGACCAAAACCGTGACCAGGACCAGTCCCGGTCACAATTGTGGTTGGGGTTGCATTAATAGTATTATAGTAATATTATTGCCAATCGACCCGAACCAGAAAGGTGACCAGGTCCAGTCCTGGTCACAGTTGTGGTTCGGATTGCACTAATATTATCATCAGCGGACCAATGGCGCAGCCGATAGGAGGCCGGTTTATTGTCGGCGGCCGTGGGCGCAACCCATGGCGCATTCAATTTTTGATCGCGCAACCTACGGCGCAACCAAGAGTCGGCTGTTTTAATTTTGACGGACCCGGATTCCCATTTTGTATGATCGCTGGTGTTTCGCTGCGGGCTTGTGGCCAACGCGGCGCCGCTAAGGAGGAGGACGAGGAGAAGCAGTAGGAGCAGGAGGAGAGGGAGGTGGAGGAGGGGGAGAGGCGGAGGAGGAGGACGAGGGGGGGAGGAGGAGGAGGAGGAGGAGGAGGAGGAGGAGGAGGAGGAGGAGGAGGAGGAGGAGGAGGAGGAGGAGGAGGAGGAGGAGCAAGGCGGCGCCGCTGAGGAGAAATACGATGAGAAGCAGGAGCAGCGGGAGGAGCAGGAGGAGAGGGACGGAGAGGAATACGATGAGAAGCAGGAGCAGCAGGAGGAGCAGCAGAAGCAGCAGGAGGAGCATGAGGAGCAGGAGCAGGATGAACTTGAAAATAACATTCTACTCAACTCCCTCCGTCCCCAACACACCACCCAATACTCAACAGCCTTCGTCTCCAACATTACGCCCGATACTCAACAGGCTCCCTCCCCAAGGTGAATTCGAAAATAACCTTCTACTCAGCTCCCTCCGTCTCCAACACACCATCCAGTACTCAACAGCTTTCGTCTCCAACACAATTCCCGATACTCAACAGGCTCCGTCCCCAAGATGAACTTGAAAATAACCTTCTACTCAACTCCCTCCGTCTCCAACACACCACCCAGTACTCAACAGCCTTCGTCTCCAACACAGTTCCCGATACTCAACAGGCTCCCTCCCCAAGGTGAACTTGAAACTAACCTTCTACTCAACTCCTCCCGTCTCCAACGCACCACCCAGTATTCAACAGCCTTCGTCTCCAACACAATTCCCGATACTCAACAGGCTTCCTCCCCAAGGTGAACTTGAAATGGTCCTTCTACTCAACTCCCTCCGTCTCCAACACACCATCCAGTAGTCAACGGCCTTCGTATCCAACACAACACCCGATACTCAGCAGGCTCCCTCCCCAAGGTGAATTCGAAAATAACCTTCTACTCAACTCCCTCCGCCTCCAACGCACCATCCAGTATTCAACAGCCTTCGTATCCAACACAACACCCGATACTCAACAGGCTCCCTCCCCAAGGTGAATTCGAAACTAACCTTCTACTCAACTCCCTCCGTCTCCAACACACCACCCAGTACTGAACAGCCTTCGTCTCCAACACACCACCCGATGCTCAACAGGCTCCCTCCCCATGATGAACTCGAAAATAGCCTTCTACTCAACGCCCTCCGTCTCCAACACACCACCCAGTACTCAACAGCCTTCGTCTCCACCGCAACACCCGATACTCAACAGGCTCCCTCCCCATCACGAACTTGAAACTAACCTCCTACTCAACTCCATCCGTCCCCAACACACCACCCAGTACTCAACAGCCTTCGCTTCCAACACAACGCCCGATACTCAACAGGCTCCCTTCCCATTATGAACTTGAAAATCACATTCTATTCAACTCCATCCGTCTCCAACACACCACCCAGTACTCAACAGCCTTCGTCTCCAACACAACACCCGATGCTCAACAGGCTCCCTCCCCAATGTGAACTTGGAAATGACCTTGTACTCACCTCCTCCCGTCTCCAACACACCACCCAGTACTCAACAGCCTTCGTCTCCAACCTACCACCCGATACCCAACAGACTCCCTCCCCATGGTGAACTCGAAAATAACCTTCTACTCACCTCCCTCCTTCTCCAAAACACCATCCAGTACTCAACAGACTTCCTCCCAAAGGTGAACTTGCAATTAACCTTCTACTCAACGTCCTCCGTCCCCAACACGCCATCCAGTACTCAACCACCTTCGTCCCCAACACAACACTCGATACTCAACAGGCTCCATCGTGACTGTGACCAGGACTGGTCATGGTTCAGGTCTGGGTCGATTGCCATTACTAATATTGTATTAATATACTTGCAACCAGAACCACAACTGTGACCAGGACTGGTCCTGGTCACGGTTCTGGTCTGGGTCGGTTGGCATTAATAATAGTATAATGATATTATTGCAACCCGAGCCACAATTGTGACGAGGACAGGTCCTGGTCACGGTTTTGGTTCGGGTCGATTGGCATTAGTAGTATTGTACATATTTTAATGCAACCAGAACCAAAACTGTGACCAGGACTGGTCCTGGTCACGCTTTTGGTCTGAGTCGATTGGCACTGATAGTATTACAATAGTATGTTTGCAGCCCGAAGCACAACTGTGACCAGGACTGGTCCTGGTCACGGTTCTGGTTTGGGTCGATTGGCATTAAGAAAATAGTTAGGTGTTAATGCAACCCGAACCACAACTGTGACCAGGACAGGTCCTGGTCACGGTTCTGGTTCGGGTCGATTGGCAACAATAATTTAATAATAATGCAACCCAAACCACAACTCTGACCAGGACTGGGTCTGGTCACGGTTCTGGTCTGGGTCGATTCGCATTGATATTTTTATATTACTATTAATGCAACCCGAGCCACAATTGTGTCCAGGACTGGTCCTGGTCACGGTTCTGGTTCGGGTCGATTGGCATTCATATGATTAATATTATTTTATTGCAACCCGAACCACAATTGTGACCAGGATTGGTCCTGGTCTCGATTCTGGTTTGGGCCGATCGGCATTAGTGACATTAGAATAGTATTAATGCAACCACAACCACAGTGGTGACCAGGGTTGGTTGCAACCCGAACCACAATTGTGACCAGGATTGGTCCTGGTCACGGTTCTGGTTTGGACCGACCGGCATAATACTGTTATAATAATATACATGCAACCCGAACCACAATTGTGACCAGGACTGGTCTTGGTCTCGGTTCTGGTTCGGGTCGATCGGCATTAATAATATTATGATAATATTAATGCAACCCGAACCACAACTGTGATCAGGACTGGTCCTGGTCACGGTTCTGCTCTGGGTCGATTCGCATTAGTATTCTTATCATAGTATTAATGCAACCCAAACCACAACTGTGACCGGGGTTGGTCCTGGCCACGGTTCTGGTTCGGGTCGATTGGCATTAATAACGTAATAATATTATTGCAACCCGAACCGCAACTGTGACCAGGACTGGTCCTGGTCACGGTTCTGGTTCGGGTCGATCGGCATCAACATTATTATAATAATATTAACGTAGCCCGAACCACACTTGTGACCAGGACGGGTCCTGGTCACGGCTCTGGTTCGGGTCGATTCGCATTAATAACATTAATATAAGTGCAACCCAGACCACAACTGTGACCATGACTGGTCCTGGTCATGGTTCTGGTTCGGGTGGACCGGCATTAATACTATTATAATCTTATTAATGCAAACCGAACCACAACTGTGACCAGGACTGGTCCTGGTCTCGGTTTTGGTTCGGGTCGTTCGGCATTGATAATATTATAATAATATTAAAGCAACCATTACAGTGGAAATCCTATTGTAACCCTTGCGCTAGGAATCCTATTGTAATCCCTAAAGTAGAAATCCTGTTGTAAGGCCTACACTAGGAATCCTGTTGTAACCCTTACAACATGAATCCTGGTGTAATCCGTACAGTAGGAATCCAATTGTAAACTCTTACTAGAGGAATCCTATTGCAATGTGTACACTAGGAATCCTATTGTCATCCCTACAATAGGAATCCTATTGTTACCTGTGTAAGAAGAATCCTATTGTAATCCCTACAAAATGAATCCTATTGTAACCCTCACAATGGGAATCATATTGTAATCTGTACACTAAGAATCCGATTGTAACACATAGAATAGGAATCCTATTGTCACCCTTACAATAGGAATCCTAGTGTAACCTTTTCAACAGGAATCCTATTGCAATCTGCACAATAGGAATCTTAGTGTACCCCTAACGATAGGAATCCTTTTGTAATCCCTACTAGGAATCCTGTTGTAAGCCCTACAATAGGAATCCTGCTGTAACCCTTACAATAGGAATCCTATTGGAATCCGTACACTAGGAATCCTAGTGTAAACTCTTACACTCGAAAACCTAGTGTAACCCGTACACTAGGAATCCTAGTGTAGCCTGCACAATAGGAACCTTATTGTAACCCCATACAACAGAAATCGGTTTGCATTAATAATATCAGTAGTATTAATGCAAGCCCAACCACAACTGTGACCAGGACTGGTCCTGATCACGGTTCTGGTTCGGGTCGATTGGCATTAAGAATATTATAATAATATTAGTGCAACCCGAACCACAACTGTGACCAGGACTGGTCCTGGTCACGGTTCTGGTTTGGGTCGACTCGCATTAATATTATTTTAAAAATATTAATGCAACCCGAACCACAATTGTGACCAGGACTGGTCCTGGTCACGGTTCTGGTTCGGGTCGATTCGCTTTAATATTATTATAGTAATTAATGCAACCCGAACCACAATTGTGACCAGGACTGGTCCTGGTCATGGTTCTGGTTTGGTCGCATTATTCCGAATGCATTCGAATAGTGCGACCCCACCTGGACCAGAACCATGACTGGTCACAGTCATAGTCATAGTCGCGAATTAATAATATTCCAACCTCACCCGGACCAAGACCAAGACCAGTTACAGTCATAGTCATAGTCCGGCATTGATAATATTATCCCTTTTCTTCTGTAAGGTGGACTGATGGTAGTTTTCCCCACGCGATCCCACAAAGATCGCATCGATCGGCGCGAGTTCAAGTTGTCGTCCTCTTCGCCGCGCTCCGAATCTGCACTCATTCTGTGAATGTGCCGTGCGGTCTGCAGATCGTGAAGCGCCTCGGGGGAGGTGTTGGCTCGACCTGGGTTAGGGAATATTGGCCCTCTGGTGCGTGGCAGGCTTTCTCCATGAGGGGGGGCGCTATCATGGTGGATGCACCTTGCGCGCGTGAGCGCTGAACGCTCTGGTAAAGAGCAGCTGTTGCTGTTTTGTGTTTGTGTGTGTGTGTGTGTTTGTTTCCTAGCTCTTAACCGGAAGAGGCCCGCTCTCGACCCGCAGACCAAAAACGTGTGTGTTTGTTTCGCCTCACTAGGCCTGGACCCCAGGCAGTGACATCGCGAGCAGACGCAGAGTGTGCGAGGGGGGGGGGGCGCCTGGGGCGTCAGCTGCACATCGACGCTCGTCCTGGCCAGGCCAGCCGGGGCCCGGGATCAGTGCCGTCGCCCTCCCGGCCTGCTGGCGGGACAGGCGCACGAGCTGGCTGAGTGCCTGGGGTCGGCCCGGCAAGGCTCGGTGTTCCCTGGGGACCCTACGTCGTGAGAAAGGAGCTTCGGTCGCGAACAGGGTCACGACATGACCTCTCGGCCCAGTGTTTCACCACCCACCAAACCACCCCAACCCAACCCGAAGGCCCAAACTTATCCTCGATTTCCAGTGGGGGGGGGTCGGGGAACATGGACAAAAACACATGGAATCCGTCCCCCCCCCCCAACCCGAAGTTCGGGTCAATTTCGGGTCTTCGGGTTGGGTTGGGGTGGTCTGGCAGGTAGCCAGTGTCTGTGCGTCGTTTTCTGGAGCAGGCTCGATCCGCGAGGGCCCCGGGGGTTCGAGGCGGGTCAAGCCATACTCCGTCGTGTCCTGGCTGGCGGCAAGCGCAAACTGGGGCTGCCGTGTGCCGGTGGCGCGCCGAGCGGGGACGCGAGAGCGGGCAGGGGCTTCTCGGAAGGCGGCGGGGCTTCTGCGAAGCCCTCTGGCCTCCTGAGAAGGCGCCTTGTGGCTTCGGGAGCCTGCCTGGACAGCTCCTCGGAGGGCCCGAGGCCTCTGGAGCCTTCTGAGCAGGCCGCACCCCTCTGCCTTCCCTGCCTGGCGCCCCGCCGAGCCCCCTCGACGCGCACCGCCGAGCTCTGGGTGGGCGGCGCCCGCATCGTGGGGCTGCCGTGCAGTTGGCGCTCTCCTGCGCCGTGCCCTCTCCGTGGCGCTGGGCGCGTAAGGGGGGGCACCCGCTGCTCCGCCCGGCAGGCGCAGTGCAGCGTCGGCGCCGACGCCGTCGTCGTGCCCTCGTCCGCAAAAGCCGCCTCAGCCCCAGCAGCCGCCCGCACAGGGGGAGGGTGGCGAGGGGGAGTGTCGAAGGATGACGGGGGGCGACGACGAGGGTGAGGACAAGGACGGTGATGATGCTGTTTGTGATGATGCTGCTGCTGCTGCTGCTGCTGCTGCTGATGATGATGATGATGATGATGATGATGATGATGATGATGATGATGATGATGATGATGATGATGATTCATTGGCTTACGCCGCACCGCCGACCCCTTGGGGCGGCAGCAAGAGTGAAAGACGGAGTTCGCGGAACGCGCGCGATCGCTGGGCAATCTTGGGGTTTCGGCCTGTCCTACGTAGCGTGTGGGGTTCAAGGGGGGGCCTTGTAGGGGAATGTTTTGAAGTTCTTCGTGGTTTCATGTGGGTTTTTTGGGCCCTTCACGGGGCCTGTCCCAGGCCTCCTCTTCCACCCCGTGGATAGGCTCGGGGATCGTTGAGACCCAGCTGGGGGTGCGTCCGGCCAGAAGTTCGAGAGTGGACCCAGCTGTGTCGCCGAGGAGCTTCCTGAAGGCCCAAAGGGGGCGTAGAGCGCCCAAGAACTAGGAGTCTCATGCCTCGAGCCTCGATCCACCCAATGTTCCTTCCCTTGCGAAGGGATGCCACTGGCCAGGGAGGTCGATCCTCATCCCGGGCTCTCGGTGGTGGTCCCTGGCACCGAAAACGGTTCCTGGAGGCTGAATTCGAAGAGATGCCTCGGGTGGTCGAAAGACCACGAAAATCTGTGAGACATCGGCGGCGACGGCGAAATCTTTTTTTTGTTCCTCTTCCTCCTCCTATTCCTCCTCCTCGTCCTTCTCTTCTTCTTCTCGATCGAGGTAGATGCCCGCGGCAATTCCGGCCGCCTTTCCAGATATTTGTGTTTGAGCAGCTTGATAGGTTTCGGTCTCCAGGGGCCGTTGCTGGGCCCCAGGGCTTTCAAAGCCGGACGGACCTGGGGCGAGAAATTGCACCCGCGGACCCGGGGAGAGGCTCGGTGAACGAATTTGAGCGGAGTAGCCCGTCGGACTCGGGGGGGTTGTTGTGGTTGGGGGGGTCCTGGCCCCTCCCCTGTCGCCGCGGCTGGGTGCATTTGGGAAAACGATTGCGACTGGGTTCCGAGAAGGGTCCAGGGGGACCATGGTGAACGATTTTTGCGTGGGGAAAAACAGAAGAATTGTGTTGCAGACTCTTCGTCATTTTCAGTTTTTTCGTGGTTTTCGTCGTCGAAGGGCCACCTCCAGGCCCCAGGGTCATTCTGGGGCATTGCGGATCTCCGTCAGGGCCTCTTGGGTGCATTCAGGCGCCTTTTCATGTTTTCTTGGGGCGAAGTGCTCGAATTCTCCATTCGGGTTTCCCTTCTTACCCTCCTCTTGTGGCCGTCCTGGGGTTCTCCCTGGTGGCTTCGGGGGCCCTGTTGGGGCCCGTTTGTGCCGTCTGGGAACCTTCTTTGGGGCATGCGGGGGTTTTTGGGTTGATTTGGTGGGCTTTTTGGGTTGTTGTGGGACTTGTGAGAGCTCAAGAAGCGAAAGTGTTAAATTTGGACGCTTCCCTTCGGGAAGGGGCCGATGTTTGGTTCTGCCGGGCCTCTTGGGACGCGTCCTGGTGGCGTGTTGGGGCGTCTAGGGGGCCTCAGGGGTCAGCTGGAGGCAATGGCTGGCGTTTGGGAACGATCTCCTCACGAGTCGTATTGCGCGCTCTGGAGCCGTCGGGGGAGCCTTGTGGGACCCATTTTGGGATTTATTGAGGGTCGTCCTGGGGCCGTCCTGGGTCGGTTTGGTGGCTTCTGGGGCCTCTTGGCGCCCATTTGGGCTGTCTTGGAATCTTCTTGGAATTTGTTAGGTCGTATTGCGTCGATCTGGAAGGCTTCGTGGGCTGTTGTGGGCTTTGTGGAAAGCCGAAAAGGCGAACGTGTTGGAAATGTATGTTGACCATCGACAATTAAACGCTTTTTGCTTCTGGAAAGCTTCTTGGGGCGTCTCCGGTTGGTTTCTTGGGCCGTCTTGGGGGCCTGTAGGACCGCCGGGAGGCAATCTGGAGCGTCTTGGAGCGATCTCTCGACGACTCGTAGCCCTCGTGGGCCGTCCAGGATGCCTTTGGGGACCCTCTTGGCCCATGTTGGGGCCTTTTGAGGCCGTCTTGCGGCTCTCCTTGGCCGTTGCGGTTGTTTCTGGGGCCTTCGCGGGGCCTTCGCTGGCCGCCTTGGAGCCTTCTTGGGGGCCTCTTGGGTTACCTGGGGTCGCTCTTGGAGGCTTCTTGGGCCGTTGTGGGCCTCCTTTTCGTTCTTCCAGCTGCCCCTGCCTTTCTCCCCAGGGTGTGTCCTATCTCGGAGAACCTGTGGGGAACTGTCCGCTCAGGGCGTGGCTAGGCTGTGGGCCTGGTGCCTCGTCGTGTTCCGTGGGCACGTTGGCTGCGGGACTGTCGCTGCTTACTCTGGCTGCTGCCCCACGGGTTTTGCGTGAGGACAAGACATGTTTTTTGTCGCAGGGTCTTCGTCTTGTAAGGTTTTTCGTGGTTTTCGTCGTCGAAGTGCCGCCTCCGGGTCCCAGGGTCTCTCGGGGGCACCGTGGAGCCCCGTAGGGGCCTCTTGGGTGTCTTTTGGCGCTCTTTTGGGTTTTCGGTCGAAGTGCTCGAATTCCCCATTCGGGTTTCCCCTCGGGCTCTTTTCGTGGGGCCGTCCTGGGGCCTTCCTTGGTGGATTCGGGGGCCCTCTTGGGGCCTTTTAAGCCGTCTGGGAGCCTTCTTGGAGGCGCATGGCCGCATGGGGTTTCCTTGGGTTGATTTGGGGGGCTTTTTGGGCTGTTGTGAACCGCGTGACAGGCCAAGAAGCGAAAGTGCTGATCTTGGGCGTTTCCCTTAGGGAGCGGGCCGAGGTTTGCTTCTGGGGGCATTTTGGGACGAGTCCTGATGGCTTGTCGGGGCGTGCAGGGGGCTTCCAGGGCCGTCCGGAGGCAATGTCGGACGTCTTGGAGCGATCTCTTCACGAGCCGTGGCCCTTTGGGGCCGTCGGGGGAGCCCCCCGGGGCCGTCCTGGGGCCCTCCTCGGCGGCTGCGGGGGCCCTCTCGGGGACGTTTGAGGCCGTCTGGGAACCCTCGTGGAGCCATGCGGGGTTTCCTAGAAATTGACTTGGGGGCTTCTTGGGTTGCTGTTGGCCTCGTGGAAGGCCAAGAAGCGAACGTGTTGGAAATTTGTGCTTTCCATCGAGAAAGGGGCGGTTGTTGCTTCTGGAAGGCTTCTTGGGACACCTTTGGGTCGCGTCTTGAGGCGTCTTGGGGGCCCGTGGGGCCGTCGGGAGGCAATGTTGGACGACTTGGGGCACTGTTGAACAACTCGGGCCGACGGGGGGGCTTTTTAAGAACCCTGTTGGCCCGTTTTGGGGCCCTCTTGGGGCCGTCCTGCGGCTTTCTGGGGCCGTTGCTATAGTTTCTGGGGCCTTCGTGGGGCGCCCGGAGGCCGTCTTGGAACCCTCTTGAAAGCCTCTGGGGCTGTAGGGGGTCGATGTTGGATGCTTTTTGGGCCGTTGTAGGCCTCGCTGAAACCCAAGAGGCGAATGTGCTGAAAATGTATGTTTTCCTCAGGGAATGGGGCGATTTTTGATTTCTGGAGGCCTCGTGGAGCGCTTCGAGGTAGCTTTTTCAAACGTCTCTGGGGCCTAAGAGGGATCGTCTGCAGGCAAGCTGGGGCGGTTTGGACCGAATCGTCCCCCTCGTGTGCCGTCCAGAAGGGCTTTGGGGACCCTTTTGGCCCGTTGTGGGGCTCTCGTGGGACTGACTCAGTTGGCCTCCGAACTGCCACCGCGGCCCCAGAGGGTGCACGAGAGGCGCGCGGCGCGTGCCCGTTTCTTCTTCTTCTTCTTCGTCTTCTTCTTCTTCTTCTTCTTCTTCTTCTTCTTCTTCCTTCTTGTTATTGTTGTTGTTCTTCTTCTTCTTCTTCTTCTTCTCCCCCCCACGTTGATTGCCCCCCCCGTGTTGACGAGTACCCCAACTTGGCTCGAGCTCCAGCGAGCCCCAGCGCGGAGTCCCCGCGCCCCGCCCGGGCATCGGGCCGCCCCCCGCCGCGCTTCCGGCGGATGCTCGCGGGCGGGGCCGGCCACACGGTCCTGCTCTGGAGCGACGGCGCAGCCGTGGCCTGCGGCAGGAACAGCTATGGCCAGTGCGACCTCCCAGCGCTGGCCGGGGAGCTGACCTACGTGCAGGCTGCCGCTGGAGGGAACCACACGGTCCTGCTCCGGAGCGACGGCACCGCAGTGGCCTGCGGCAGCAACAGCTTCGGCCAGTGCGACCTCCCGGCGCTGGCCGGGGGCCTGACCTACTCGCAGGTCGCTGCCGGAGGGTTCTACACGATCCTGCTCAGGAGCGACGGCACAGCCGTGACCTGCGGCTTGAACAGTGATCGTGAGCGTGACCTCCCGGCGCTGGTCGGGGACCTGCTGTACACGCAAGTTTCTGCTGGAAACCAGCACACGGTCCTGCTCAGGAGCGACGGCTCTGCCGTGGCCTGCGGCTGCAACTCTCGTGGTCAGTGCAACCTCCCTGTGCTGATCGGGGACCTGACCTACACTCAAGTTGCCTCTGGCGCGGATCACACGGTCCTTCTCAGGAGTGACGGCACCGCCGTGGCCTGCGGCTGCGATTGTCGTGGTCAGTGCCGCCTCCCGGCGCTGGTCGGGGAACTGACCTACGTGCAGGCGGCCGCTGGAGGAAAGCACACGGTTCTGCTCAGGAGTGACGGCACCGCCGGTGCTTGCGGCTGGAATTTTGAAGGCACGTGCGACCTCCCAGCGCTGGCCGGGGACCTGACCTACGTGCACGTTGCCGCTGGAGGGAACCACACGGTCCTGCTCCGGAGCGACGGCACCGCCGTGGCCTGCGGCTTGAATGATGCTGGTCAATGCGACCTCCCAGCGCCAGTCAGGGGCCTGACTTACGCGGCCAACCTGTGTCCAGTCCTGCTCCTGCAGGCGTCCTTCGACGGCGACTCGGTGCGCTTCGTGACC